AATCAGGCTGCTAAAATGCCAATCCATTTACTTGCCTGAATCTGACATTGAAAAAATGTTACCTGCGCAGCTAGGTGGACTTCACTCAACAACAGGGACGGGATTCTGCACCACGTACCGGGAAATGCGCTGCAAATACAAAGCTACCATACTGCACGTAACGCAAATACTCTGGTCCTGCTGCTGTCCCCACTACTCCTGCCCCACCTGAGCAAGTGCTACCGGTCAGAGAGGGTGGAGGGGGAAGAAGTAACTGCAGGGCATGCACACAGCATCAGGGCTTGATGTGGCTCAGGCCACATGTAGTAAGCAACATTCCTGTGTGCACTGAGCTTCCCTTTGCTTATCTAGCTGAACCTCTGTATACAGACAGGCACATGCATTTTACACAGATACCTTTGTATTGAATATCGAAACACATGCTACTCACTGAATTTTAACCTGCATTTGGTTTATAGCACATCTAACAAAAAGGCATTGCTGCTTTTGCTTCTTTTAACTGAGACCTACGTTGATTTTTTTGTGGTTTTGTCAGCAACTGATGTCATCCCTGAGGTAATGTCAGCACTCTCCTACTCTTAGAAATTCCCCTAATATTCAAAATGTCAGAAAATACTAAAAAACTTGAGCATCAGAAAAAGAATAAACTCTTCTGAAATACCTAATACACATTGCTGCCTGACCCTCTGCAAGTAACATACCAGATGCGTGGGGACAAGGTAAGAACTGGAATTAATCCATGCCTTTTTTTTTGTTCTGGGATTCGGATTTCCACAAATTTCTGAATGTACATGGATGACTGTGTGTCATACTCTATGTGGCACAAGAGAGTGAGTGGCAAGCATGCCACTGGCATTTCAATTATTACTGGTAGGGCTGGATTCCTAGTAACTTGTTGACCTTTGCAAATATTAAGAAATATACAAAATTCTGTACACATGTCCAAAATTACATTATCACAATACATAGTTGGAACATCTCTGCCTCATCCTGTGGGCCTGAAACCATCATACAAGGCCAAGAGCCAAAACCAACAAAAATACACAGTAAAACCAAAAAAGGGACCCTGTAAATCATAGAGAGAAACATGTGACAGATAGATGACACACAAACCAAATACAAAAATTATGATCAAGTATTCTCATTGTTTGATGATAAAGACATTTATCAAACACATGTGAAGTCAAGTTCAGAATTGCGAGCAGTCCCGAGGGCTTGGCAGCTGAAGTTTAGATGGAATTTATCCCTGCTTTTAGTATGCGTTTTTTGCAGAAAAAGGCCCCGAAAATGCAGGATTGGAATACAGGAGTATTTATTTATTTATTTATTTAATAAACCCATCTATTGGTTTAATTTTGTTTGTTGGAACAAACTTACCTGGAATACTCGCTGGAGAAATTGGACCAGATCTCGACTGGTTGCTTCCAACGGGAGAGCCGACAGGGGAAGGTGATGGGCCCCCAGGGATGCCAGAGAGATGGGGAGAAGCATGAGGGGAGAATGGAGATTGTGCAGGGTTGCTCTGCTCCCCTTGGCTGCTTGTGGAGCCTGACGCGCTAACAGCTGAGCTCAGGGTTGCTTCGGTTCCAGTCGGCAAGTCGTCAATGGATCCAGATAAATCCTGAGGAAAAAGGAAGAAAGAATGTAAGTAGTCGTACGAACTAATACTCAGGCCACAGGACTCAAGAGCTGGTACGGCGATGAGGTCCACTGGTTCGCTTATTGCGGCACATAACAAAGAGGTTGTTGTTAATGTTGGTTCATGTAGCTAAATGATGTCAGAAAATGAGGATAGTATGTACAATTCTCTGCTTAATCTCTAATTCTGTCAAAAAAAAAGAACAAGCAAGGGCAACACATTAATTGGAACCAAATTCACTCAACATTGAATTTAACCTTTTCCATCTGGATTAAGCTTTCAAAATTAATCCACCAAATTCTGCCTGAGCATACTGAAATTAATGAAAATGACACATCAGTTTCACTTTCACACAGTATTTCATTTTGGGGTTTGCTACCATTACAATCACAGCTCATACACTTCACTCTTTAAACCACCACCACAGCGAGAGAAGAAGGGTGTAAAATATGCAGCCCCTCTAACACTCACATGCAGCTCCTTCATCTTGCACAAGAGACACAAGAGGCCCTGCCCTCAGCAGAAGCACAGGCCACCTAGGACCAAGGAAGGCTGCTTCTCTATTTCTATCAAATACCAGCTTGAGCAATGTACAATTCACTGCATCTCTTCAATTTTACTTAAATACGGTGAAAAACAATTGCTCAATTTCAGTTCATAACTGCTGCATTTTCAATGAGATATTTCCTCTGCAGGTCAAAGCACATCTGAATTCTAACTACGAATTGCTGGGCATTCCCTAAAGCTGTAACATGGGAGTTAAACTGGTCTTTGGATCTGTGGGAGGAATTTGTTTTTTTAAATCAGATATGAAAAACCAAGGATGCTGTGACAAAGCAAGTGTGTGCCCCTTAACTGTCAGGAAAAATGGTAATACCTAAGCATCGCAGAAAAAACTCACACAAACTGAAAAGCGCAAAGATAGATGTGCTTCCATGAGTTTTGGCAAGGCAAAAGTTAAGGAGCATGTTACTATTTCTATTAGTAAATTAAGGCGTAAACAGGAGGCACAGAGCTACTTCACATATAAACCAGGTCATTAAATGACCTTTGGGTCTTCCAGTAACTGGGGTGACAGAGTGTGTTACTTGGCTGGTACTGACTTCACTTATCTGGTTCATGCAAGTGGTTGCACCATAGACAAGGGGATCCGTTGTCTGAGTAGCACAGAAACAACAGGTTTCAGCCTGAGCGAAGAGGTCAGGAAGCAAAGCCTTCCTGCTGCCTAATTTTCATAACAAAAAAAAATTTTGTTTTTATAAGTTACAGAGTGTGGACAAAATGCAAAGTGGTGTATTTAGAGCAAGAGTGGTGCCTGATGCCAATCACCTTCACGACAAGGGAGGTTCACAGACAGCCTCCCCTAACAGATAGATATAGTCAGCCTTCCAAGGCATGGGAAGAGTAGGATTAACAGTTTAAACATCAATAACAATCATTAGAAACCACCTAGAACGCTATGCGTTATTCCTTCTACAATACAACCCACCCAACTAAGCTCCCTGCAGGACACCTTGCAGACCTTATTTCCAACTAACTTCCTCAAATACATCAGGCACAACTCTCACCACTGGTTAATTTTTCTTTTTCTGACAAGCACAAAACTGTACATGTATTTCATAGGGCATAAGAAAAGCAAAAATTAAGTTTGAAACTTCAATTTATGTATGGACTCTGCATTCACTCAAGAGTAGACTTCCAAATCCCTGCAAATGGAAATTTAATTGTGAAACGGGCAATAAACTATTTTCATTGTTTCTTTTTCGAAACTATTAACTGTAGAAAATGTAAACAAGAAATAACACTGCTTGATACTGTATAGAGCAACGCTAGAGATTTTTCACAGCAGAATGTACTTGGCAACAGGTAAGCAATTACTGCTTTTCCATACATAATGTGGTATTCTTCTAAATGGAATCAAATCGCTCCTGTCGTGATGTGTAACAAATGCTGCAGGAAGTGCTGATAAAACAAATGCTGCTGAAAAGCATATAATAAACCCCTGAAAACTGAATGCAGCAGAATACAGCTTATTCTAAAGGAATACAAGCTCTGCATAAAAAAACAGATAGGCACCCAACTGATAGAAAAGACAGTGTTTTACATTTAGAATAACAAAGATTTTAAAATGGCTTTTGGATTAAAGCTTTAATTTGTTTCGGCAAGCCACGAAGTACTTGAAAAACAAACACGCCAAAATAATGAAAACCCATGAAGCAGTTAGCATGGTCTGTGATGAAATGATCTGTTGTTCAGACACCAACGCAAAACCCGACTGTTCCCCACAGCATCTCCTCGGCTTTATGAGCATGTGTGGGGAAGAAGGTGGGGAGGAAAAGGCAGTTTGCTTTTCCCATCAGGTCACATCTGAGTTCTCCCACAAGGGTGGAGTGACTGATGAGTCCCAGACATTTCCTCAACTGCCTGCCTTCCAGGGATTTCCTCACCAACCTGATGCAACTCATTCACAAAAGCAGAAAAGGAAGGAAGAGGGAAGCTTGCATGATGCCGATCCATTTAAAGAGCAAAGCCACGCCACCCTCCCCAGCAACGGGCAGCAGGAGCAGCCAGGGGGCTCAGCTCACCGGCCGTGCCTCGCGTTCCCCACGCGTGCTCGGCTCAGCACTGGGACATCCTCCCCACGCTGGGGAGCTTCGCAGTCCGCTCAACTCATCTGCCGAGGATGCTACAGTAACATTCATTCATCAGACTCATCAAGAAATCTGGTAATGACATGGCTCCAGGATAGCACAAAGGGCTGACGCCTATCTAGATGCCTGGGCTGTGCTACACAACCTTTACCTTGTGTGACAGTGGGCTAAAATGAGAAATATCAGCTGTTCTGCGCAGGGTGGCAGGCAGATCATTACTCTGTATTTTTTGTTAACATACACTTCATGGCCTTACCTAGTCTTCTAAGGCAGAAAGCCTGAGTAGGCGAGCAACTGAGAAACTCCCAGCATACAAAGGCTTTAGAAACACCTCTGTTATCCACAAAAGCTAATTGGGAAATTAAAGAGAAGAAGAAAGACTTTATGTGAGGCACCCGGACAGAAAGAGCAGAAGTCGACTTACTGCTCTCCTATTATCAGTATTTTAATGCTTGCTTTTACTTCGGTGTAACAGAACAGTAATGAAGTCATGTGCAATTTCCATATCACAAACATTTATTTATATAGACAGTACCGTACAAGCACACATTATATACATAAATTACATGGATATACTTGCATTTACTTAGCATATCCATATGTAAAGCTATTAAAAAGCCTACTAATAAGAGAAATTCACAGCGGTTTAAGCCTACAGCCTAGTTAACAAAGAAGCTCTGTAACTAATACTCCTCTAGAGGACAATTTAGTCAGCAGGGCACCAACTCTATTCTTCTTTTATAAGTACTATCAGATCTATGATGCCTGTAAAGAACAGAGAGACCTTACTGCATCTCATTCAAACCAAGGCACCTTCAAGCTACAGTGCTTCCATTTATCTTGTTGGAAAGTTGGCAGGTTAGGTAATTGCTGGGATTCTTTTAAGGGGCTGAAGTCCCCGTACCCTAAGGCACGCCTTAAACTTTGCCTCAGAGGCTTTTTCTGGAAAGCACATGTTTCTTCTAGTCAAATGCAGCAAGTCTAGAATTACCAGAAATCTCTTGTTATACAGATCTGTTTCTTGTAAAGTCATCTTATTGTTCTTGTCTATGGAATTGGTATGACTGTATTTTCAAATGTGGCACCAAATCTCAGAAAAAATGAATTTCTTCCCAGTTCTGTATTCTCTACGCTAGCTTCACATGCTGTACTATTCAGGACATCCCAACTAGATTTCAAAGTTCACTTTTAGATAATACCTTGATTACAAACTGAAATGTCCCCTTGCAGGACTTATCTCTTTTAGCAAAGTGTTTTATCTCTGACTGTCTTCACTTCCAGCCTCACCTTCCACCAATGCACAACCTTTATTCTTGTCCCTCTGACAAGTACAAGAGCTAAAGTGAACAGGATCACATTGTGCCTGGGATTATAATGTTATGCCTTCCTGGTGGTACGATCTTATCAGACTGTCAGGAGAGCCACTCTTGAAACAGCACACCAATTCACTATTGCAATGCGGCCAGGAAGGGGTAGAAGGAAGTAAATTGCTTATACATAGTCAGGAAACCCAAAGTTACTTACAAAGAGAGCATGAGGAAAAAAAAATACAAACACCTGCATATAATATAATAATGTTAACTTACCCAGGGAATATACCTAGATCCAATAAATAGCAAAAAAGATACTACAGTAACTTGATAATACCAGCACAATTTTACACACAGAGTGTGACAGGATTAAACCATTCACCATGGAGCAAAAATTTACACCGCAAACACTTCATGCAGTTGCCGGTTTTGCTCAAGAGTGTCTCAGCAGACATAAATCAAGATTTTACTAACAGGATCCCTTGCTAAATACCTACAGTTGTGAAATGATGAGCACCTTCTCTGAAATCAGTAAAAAGGGAAAGCAGGTAACTAGTCCCTTGCTAACTGAGCTCCTACGCCACTGAATTACACCCTAAATTCACTGACAGGTTACTGTAGTTTGGGGCTCTCTTGCAGGGACTGTGCAGAGCATATACATTCTGGGATTTAGTTAAACTTCCCAACCGTTGCCTGGCAGTTCCTTTATGCTCAGGGAGTAGAAGAAAAGCAGTAGTATTCTGTAGGTATTAAAATTAAAGACACACAAAACCTCCTAGTCTCCAGGAAGCTGAAAACCCCAAACTCTACTGCACCATCCATTTTGCTAGCACGGATCCCAGCGCTCCATATAGGGAACTACAGCAACCAACTGGCTGCAGGATCAGAGCCCTGCTCGCTCCATTCAGGCCTTCCTGCAGTATTTTTATTAGGATGGAGGATGCTGCTGCTCAAAAGACAGGATCCTCCTGCATGAAATACCCATCTCCTTAACACAAATCAGTGCCGTAGAAGTACAATTATATATACACAAACATATTTTATATGTAAGTACGTAAATATATATTCAGGCAGACATACACTCTGCGATTGTTTTGGAGCTATGGGGGATTATGAACAATATGCTCTGTAATTGAGATTAACTTTGAACAAATGATTTGGCTGACAAACACACACATCGCACACAAAGGGAAAATCCACAATAGCTCTGTTTAAATTTCAAGATATTTGTAAGACCTCTTTTCATCACAATGCAGCCTATAATAGCATGTTTCAAGAAGTCTTCCAAAAGCCCTGCTGGTCACATTGTCGAGGCAGCAAGCGAGCTAACAGCCTCCCATCGCCTGTGCAACCAGAGAAGCACACAGGCACAGCAACGATGGGGACCGGGACAAAAATCCTTTTGTGCTCAAAGGCTGCTATCCCCTGAACAGGTGTCTTCCTTTCACACCAAGCACGTTCCGACCCTCAGCCAAGCAAGCCAAACATGCCTAATGCACATCCTCAAAAAATTCTTCTTTAATGG